TCGCGGGGGGCGGGGGGGCAAGAAAAGCGGCGGCCCAGGAGCCGTCCCAGCCAAGTGGGTGCAGGCTGCCGTGCCACACCGGCCGCCAGCGGGCTCTGGGGTCTGGGCTGGCCTGTGTGTGCGTGAGAGCGTGTGCAAGCGCTCAGGTCTCCTTTCTCTCCCCCTCTCTGTCTCCTTTTATTCGCCTTCATAAAACATAGGAAGTTCAAGCCATTCATTTTGCTATTTGTGTCTCCCTCCCCACGCCCCGGTTCCCTCCCTTGCCCCCTGCAGCCTCTCGGCTCGCTGCTTGCCCAGCATCCTTGACCCCGAGAAGTCTGGTGTGTATGCACTTCCCTTTTGGCCCATGGAAAGCGCCACTCTGAACTGGTGCCTTGATAAGTCTTCTGTGGGAAGGCAGGGGCTCCTGGGCTCTCACACAGGGCTTTCCCATGTAGCATTTCCTATGCTGTCCCTGCTCGCCAGCGCGATCTCCAGACCAGGGCGGTGGGGAAGCTCTCCGGGTGGCGGTGCCCCTCCATGGCAGCAGGTCTGTCCTCCTCGGGCTCTCGTGACTTGCTCTGTGTCAAAAGCCGTGGCGCGTGGAGGGAGGCATCCTCCCGAGGAGGAGGAGGGGGATGGTTAGCTTCTCATGGGCTAACGTGGCACCCCTCAGCTCACCCACAGCGAAGGACTGCAAAGGGCTTTGACCCCCCAGCCCCTTCCTCACAGCAGTTGTACAGACAGAGCTCTGATATTGTCTCCCACAGAGTTTGGGATCGACGGGACCCGTGTCCTGCCTGCAAAGGCGCAAGCACATGGCAGGGCAGCCAGGGCTGGGATCGAGACCTCAGAGGGGCTGAGGAGACGGGGATCGACTGGCAGAGAGGGAGGAAGGAGAGGCTCAGCGAGGAGGGCTGGGGCAGCACAGAGGGGCCTTTTCTCAGAAATACCCTCCCCTGAGCTGCCCTGCCAAAGCACAAGGCCCCCGGTGTTTCAGCCATGGGCTGGGGGCCGCGGCGGTCCCTCCATCACCACCACCACGGGGACACAAGGACAGTGCCCACGCAGTGGCTGCACAGACACCCACCTCCCGCTGCCCACCAGCGAGGCAGAGGGTGAAAGCCAGGCAGCGAACAGGCAGTGTTTGGCCTCCTCCATCCATGGCTGGAGTAAAAGGTGCTTCGGCACGGCTGCAGGGAGCCGTGCGGGGCAGGTTCCCCCCACAGCAAGGGCGCCCATGACATAAAAGCTGTCGGAGCTCCTAGGGCCGGGTCTGGATTCATGTACCTGAGGGGGCTGCTGGGTGAACTGGGAGGACTGGGAGGAAGAGTCTGCGTGGCTGAAGTCAGCAGGGCGGTTGGCTGCACCACAGCGTGCCGGAGGGCGAAGGCAGCGTGCTCACTGCCTTCATCGCTCCCTTTGATACCCCCTGGACACACCCTTGCCCCGTGCTAACCGCACAGCGAGGCAACGCAGAGCCAGGTCACGGGGGCTTTGCCATGCCCTCTGCTCTCCAGCTCTCCCCACAGCGATGGGACCACAGATAAGAGCCTTCTCCCGCTTATCGCCCCATCAGCAGTGCTGCAGACAGCTCAGCTGCCCCACCGCTGAGCACCGAGCCCTGATCTCATCAGCGCGCCGCACACTTGCAGCTCGAACAATAACCTCCTTCCCTGCCCGACACAATTCCCAGAAATGCACAGCCTCCTGCTAAAGCCTCCCTGGGGGAAAACATGCCAGCCGGTCTGTCGGCACCAGCACGGACATCGCTGCCAGCCGCTGGCAAACGCAGCCTGCTGCGTCCTCAGCGCGGAGGCACCTCTGCAAAAACAAGGGTGTGCTGGGTGGGGTGGAGGGAGCGGAGGGAGAGGCTGAGCTGGAGTCCTTGGGGCCATCCTTTAGCTGGATGTGCTCAGGAAGTCCCTCTCCCTCCGGGCATGCGTGACCAGGCATCTTGCCCTGTTCCAGCCACCCCGTTAGCAGCCCCCCGCTTGGCTGCCGTCACCCTGCCTGCTCCGAATGCCCGCTGGGTTCACAAAGGCTGCTCATGGGGCCAGGAGGCAAAACCAAGCGCCGGCTGCCCGGACTGGGAGGGTAGAGACAGGGCTCGTGGCTCTCCTCGCCCCAGCGAACCCCCAGCCCGGAGAGGGACTTCTGCATCTCTCAGCATCACTGAGCGCCTCAGTCTGCCGGCGCTTTCCCTCAGCACATTTGAGTAATCACTGTTGCTGCTTCCAGATGGAATATTTGGACACCCAGGCAGGCACGGCTGGATGCTCGAGGCGGGTATTTACCCTGCCCCAGCTGAGCTGGGAGTGGGAGAGGGCCAGGCCAGCAGCTGGCACGGCTGTCCTTTCTCCAAGGGCTTCCTCTGGGGCTCGCCAGCCTGTCTGCCCAGCACATGTGTCTTGCCAGGGCCAGATGTGCCATCTAGGGAGGTGCAGAGGCAGCTGAGGGGGCTGCTGGGTGAACTGGGAGGACTGGGAGGAAGAGTCTGCGTGGCTGAAGTCAGCAGGGCGGTTGGCTGCACCACAGCGTGCCGGAGGGCGAAGGCAGCGTGCTCACTGCCTTCATCGCTCCCTTTGATACCCCCTGGACACACCCTTGCCCCGTGCTAACCGCACAGCGAGGCAACGCAGAGCCAGGTCACGGGGGCTTTGCCATGCCCTCTGCTCTCCAGCTCTCCCCGCAGCGATGGGACCACAGATAAGAGCCTTCTCCCGCTTATCGCCCCATCAGCAGTGCTGCAGACAGCTCCGCT